ATCAACTGGGCATGGTAGTGTGTGCCTGTAATTCCGGCTACTCGGAAGGCTGAGGCGGAAGGATCGCCGGAGCCCAGCAGGTCGGAGCTGCGGTGGCCAGGAGCGGCTACTGCACTCCAGTTTGGGTGACTGAGTGAGACTCCAACTCAAAAAAAAAAAAAAAAAAAATGAACACAGGCCAGGTGCAGTGGCTCATGCCTGTAATCCCAGCACTTTGGGAAGCCAAGGCAGAAGGACTGCTTAAGCTCAGGTGTTCAAGGCCTGCCTGGGAAACATAGAGACCTTGTCTCTACAACAGCAACAACAGCAAAAAGTAGCCCGGTGAGTGCCTGCGGTCCCAGCTACTAAGAAGGCTGAGGTAGGAGGATCTCCTGAGGCCAGGAGGCTGAGGCTGTGGTGAACAGTGATGCCGCTGCACTCCAGTCTGGAGACAGAGTGAGGCTCTGACTCAAAAAACAAAATAATAAATAAATAATACAAATGAGCATAACACCCAACTCAGTGGGTGGGAGGTGAGGACTGACTGGTGTGGAGGTCTTAGCAAGGTGCTACATACTTAGGAAGCTGGGAAAGCATTAACCCACTCCCTCCCGGCACACCAGCACGGTGATGTTCTTGATTTACAGTCTCCCCTTCCTCGCTCCCCTTCAAACTTCCTTCCTCATCCCATTTCTCTCAGAACTGAAAGCCCTGGACTTAAGCAGCTGTAGAGTTTTCGGGGCAGCCTGAGGCAGTGGGCAGGGTAGAAGCCTCCAAGCCTGGAGGCCGAGGGGAGAGGGGACAGAGCTATGCTCTTCCCCCTGCCAGGGCTCCACACTCTTCCTGCGTGTCCTCCTCGGATCTTCCCACCCGGGCCACCAGGAAAGAGGATCCTGGAGCGCCCAGCCTGCCCTTACCCGAGAAGATCTTCCCGTCCCGGGTGAGCAAGGCGGCCCCCACGGGAAAGTGACTGTAGGGGCAGTAAGCTGCCTTCTTGGCCTCCCGGGAGGCGAGCAGCAGCTGCTGGAGCTGTTCAGGCTTCATGGCGCAGGCCGGTTGCTCCTGGGCCATGTCTGTCCCCTGGGCAGGCAGCAGAGCAGTGGAAACAGCAGCTCTGGCCAGACTTGGCTGGGCCTCTATGACTCCCCAGCAGCTCCTCCCCCAGGGTGTGTCCCTCCTCCCTCAGGGTGTGTCCCTGCAGCGAGACTTCAGGCTCCCAGGTGCCAACTTTCAGGATGCCAGCAGGGCCAGGTCTGGGAGGCCAGCTTTCCAGGGCTTGGGCTCCAAAGGTGTGCTGTGTAAGACTGTGCCCCTGTGTGTCCCAGTGTGGAAGGCTGTGCTGTGCCTTCACACACTCCGTTAAGGACCACTCACACTGTTGACATGCTGAGGGGTGAGTGGGTGCAAGCCTGGCTGGTATGTGTGGGTCAGAGTGTGGGCGCCACGTGGCAGAGGGTGGTGGTGAACACACTCCTTGGAGAAGAAGCTGCTGGGTGGGTCAGTGTGAGATCCCAGAGGTCCAGGCTCCAAGGGTTGACAGCCCTCAGTTTGTTCAATTACTTTTAATCTCCTTCCCTGAGAGAAAGGATGAGGCTGAAAGAGCAAGTTAGGGACAGCCACACGCCGTCCTGAGTCAGGAAGTGTGAACAAGCTGTGATGAGACTGAGGAGTTTCTTTCTTTTTGAGTTGGAGTCTCACTCCATCGCCCAGGCTGGAGTGCAGTGGCATGCTCCCAGCCACTGCAGCCTCAACCTGCCGGGCTCCGGCGATCCTTCCGCCTCAGCCTTCCAAGTAGGTGGAACTATAGGTGCACGCTACCATACCAGGCTCATTTTTTGGATTTATTATAGAGACGAGGTCTTACCAAGTTGCCCGGGCTGGTCTCGAACCTGCAGGCTCAGGCAATCCACTCACCTCGGCCTCCCAAAGTTCTGGGATTAGAGGCTGAGTCACTGAGTCCAGCCAGGAGTTTTTTTATTTCCACTCATTTGCCCTCCAATTACTTTTGTCCCAACCCAGAATTTAAAAGTATCTCAGTTGGAGGGAACCTATGAGATAATCTACTGAGAGGCCCCTCACTTTTTTGTTGGCAAAATAGACATTGGGTTAGATGTAAAAAAAATGAATTTGCATCCTGGTTCTACCAGTTTCCATGTATACAACCTTGACCTTCCTGTGCTACAGTTTCCTCGTCTTTACAGTGGGGACAGTGATAATCATCCCTGTTCTAGATCCTGAGCTTGTAGAAGAGCTCCAGCTTCAGAGTTTAATAGACCCTGGTTTGAATTCCAGTTCTGCCATTTGTTAGGTGTATGACATTGAGAAGTTCATACCTTCTAAACCTCAGTCTAATCATCTGTAAAATGGGGGCATGAACAATATCTCACAGAGTTGTCATGAAGATTAAATGAGATAATGTGTGAACAGGGGGCATGGTTGAAGGACATGGTGACATCACGATGACTTGGCCATTAAATGACTTGGCCAAGACCACATAGGAAGGGGAGAACAGTGGCCAGAGACATTCAAATGTTCCCAGACCCCTAGCAAGTAGGAGTGAAACAGCAGCTTCTCTGAGGGCTTGGATGAGGGATGGGAAAGGGGAAAGGGAAGGGCAGGCGGGAGGAGGAGAAAATAAGGCAGCATCTCACGTCCACATGCTGACTTCTCTGTGCTTGGCAGCCCAGCCTCCCTGTGTTCCTGGAGCTCTCTGCCACATGTAGCCGCTAAGGAAACACCCAGCTGGGCCACAGAGGAGCTGGGCCAAGATTGCTTCATTTCTTCCTCTCCACCCCTTCCTCCTCCCCTTCAGATTCTCTCCCTCTCCAACTGCTTCAGCCCTCAGAGATGCAGCTTGTTTTCCCTCCTGGAGCTGAGGGCCCCACACCCTGAAGCACTTTCCTCCTGTGTCTATACCATAGGCATCTAGAAAAATTCCCTGAATCTGAGACGAAGCAAAAGATGTCTTGGGACAATGTTTGCCCACTTGTCATGGGAATAATCCTAAAGCTTTCTGGGGTCCGGCATCATTACAGCTGGGAAAAGGGTTATGGTGCTGTGCAGACCTATCAGGCCTGTTGGAGACTTCAGTAAGTAGTCCCAGTCCTGTCCCCTGCCCTGTGTCAATCCACCCAACCCAGCCCTGCCCAGGCCCAGGCCTGGACTTCTGAACTCCTTGATTCCACATTGCTAGGAAAACTCGGATGACCTCTTGGACTGATTACAACCCTTGCCACCTTCAAAACTCTTGACTAGCACATAGTCTTTGTTTCTGTAATAGATCACTCAGTGTTATAGACTGTAAGTCCATCCAAGTTGCCGTGAAGTTCATAAATTCGTCCTTCTTTATGGCTGCAGAATATTCCGTCATGTATGTGTATCACATTTTTTTCATCCAATCCTCTTTTGTTGAGCAGCATGGTTGGTTCCATGTTTTTGCTATTGTGAACAATGCTGCAATAAACATATGTGTGCAGGTATCTCTTTCATAGAGTGATTTGAGTTCCTCTGGGTATATTCTCAGTAGGAGTGCAGTGGCTGCTCCCGGCCACCACAGCCTTGACCTGCTGGGCTCTGGCGATCCTTCCGCCTCAGCCTTCCATCTTTGATTTCTTTGAGTAGTGTATTGTAGTTTTTGTTGTAAAGGTCTTTCACATCTCTGGTTAGGAAGATGTCAAGGTATTTCATTTTTTTGTGTGGTTATTGTAAATGGGATTATGCTTTTTATTTGGGTTTCTGTGTGTTTATTGTTGGCATATAGAAATGCAACTGTCTTTTGCACATTTATTTTATACCCTGAGACTTTGCCAAAGTTCTTTATCGGTGCAATGAGGTTTTTGACAGATTTTCTTGGGTTTTCAAGGTATAGAATCATATCATCTGCAAAGAAGGATAACTTGACTTCCTCTTTTCCTATTTGGATATACCTGATCTCCTCTTGTCTGATTGTTCTAGCTAGGACTTCCAAAATTATGTTGAAAAGGAGGGGCATCCTTGTCTTGGAAAATAGTTCCAATTTCTGACTGTTTAGTAGTGTGTTGTCTGTGGGTTTCTCATAGATGGTGTTTAATCTTTTGAGGTATGTACCATCTATGCCTAGATATTCGAGGGTTTTTTATCAAGAAGGGGTGCTGGATTTTATTAAAAGTTTTTTCTGCATCTAACTACATATAATCATGTGGCTTTTGTTTTTACATCTGTTGATGTATTTAATTACATTTATGGTCTTGTGGATATTAAATCAGCCCTGCATCCTGGGGATGAAGTCTACTTGGTTGTGGTGGATGATTTTTGAGATATGTTGTTGGATCTGGTTTGCTAGGATCTTGGTGAGAATTTTAGCATCTATGTTCATCAAGGATATTGGCCTGTAGTTCTCTTTCTTTGTTGGATCTTTACCTGGTTTGAGTATCAATGTGATATTAGCTTCACAAAATGATTTGGGGAGAGTTCCATCTTTCTCAATTGCCTAGAATACTTTCAGTAGAATTGGTATCAGTTCCTTCTTGTATGTTTTGCAGAATTCTGCTGGAAACCATCTGGTCCAGGACTTTTTTTTGTAGGTAATTTTCTTATGACATAGTCAATTTCCTGGGTTGTTATTGGTCTATTTAGGGTCTCGATTTCATCTTGTTTCAAACTGGGGAGGTTGCATGATGTCAGAATGTCCTCCATTTTCTTAAGGTTTTCAAGTTTGTTTCCGTAAAAGTGTATACAGTAGTCTCTGATAATCTTTCATATTTCTTCGGGGTCAATTGTGACTTCATCTTTTGTATTTCTGATTGTGTTTATTTGGGCTTTTTCCTCCCTTTTTCTTGGTCAGTCTAGCTAGGGGGTCCATCAATCTTGTTTATCTTTTCAAAGAACTAACTTTTTGTTTCATTGATTTTTTTTGTCTTATATTTTTGTCTTCTATGTCCTGAATTTGGGCTTTTATTTTGGTGATCTGGATACTTCTGTTAAAGCTAGGGTTTTTTGTGGTCTTGCTTTTCCAGTTTCCTTAGGTGATTTGCTGGTCTGTTAACTTGTGATCTTTCATTCTCTTCATGTGTGTTTATAGAGATATTAATTCCCCCTTAGTACTGTTTTCAAGGCATCCCAGGGGTTTGAGGTTTTGGTAAGATGTTTCTTCATTTTCATTTGTTTCCAGGTATCTTTTAATCTCTGTTTTGATTTCCATGTTGACCCA